AGGTAGTATATGTAGACAATTCAATAAATAAATAAATTAGGTCAAATCTAAGAAGGTGAAGTGGATGAAGGAGATGCAAAATAAAATAAATTTAAAAGAAATTTAATGGGGACGTGGCTAGCGAAGTCTTACATCTAAGATTATCGAGAACGATAAAACGGACTTATATTGCCACCACCCTTTGTTTTTCATCTTCCAGCCGACCAATTATGATTGCTCAAGTGAAAGACAAGCTACCTAGCTGTGCCACTTCTATGTGTATCCACAAATTTATTTGCTCCTGTGGAGAGAGCTATATAGGGCGAACAACTAGACAGCTTAACAAACGCATTAATGAGCATCTTCCTTCATGGTTCGGAAAAGGTCAAATAAAATCTATACGAAGTTCTATTTTGGCTCATTTGATTGATAGTGGTCACCAAGTGGACAATAATAGTGCCTTCAAAGTTATCTGTCGGATTCCATCAAGCCTTTTGAACGGAATCAGAACCCGTCTTTTACACTTAGCCGAAGCTATGGGAACTCGAGAGAACAATCCTAGTCTTTGCTTACAAAAGAAGTTTGTTCTACCTTTGTCTCTCCCTTGGCCTAGGTGAATTCTATTCAAAACCCTCCCACCCTTTCTTATTTTGCATCTCCTTCGTCCACTTCACCTTCTAAGATTTGACCTAATTTATTTATTTATTGAATTGTCTACATATACTACTTTTGTTATTCTTATCACCTGCATAAACCTTATTATCAATATTTTGTTGTCATTATGATCATCGTTATTAGTTACGTTCAAAACATTTACCACATTATTATTATTATCCACAAATCACCGTCATTGGTTAAAATTTTTTATATATAAATCTATGTAAATTAGCGTAAAGCCTGAAGAAGGTCTAATTGAAAACAATATTGTTCGCTTATATGTCTTGTTCTAATATTAAAAATTAGAATATTTAAAGATATCAAATATAAACCAACTAATTTGTCTGTGGTTATAAGTTTTTATAAATTTATTCATAAATAGCCTTTGTATTATTTCCCAAGCATACGTTCTCCCACTTAGTCTATCATTCAAAGGTAATTGATCACAACACAAGAAATATTTTAACCGACGGTTCCACAACAAGAAAAAAGTATCAAGTTGAAGAAATTTTCTTTATTGCTGTTATTGTTCCAAGAATTTAAACGTCTGCAAAACTATGCAAAATAAGATATTTAACTCACCAATCAGTATATTAGACAAGACCAGTGAGTCTATTATAATATTAGTTCGATTTTTTGGAAAAATCTTTAAATGAACTAACTGGATCTATTTCCTAGCTATTGACGATTAAGAATAGGGAATAAGCACCAAGTAACAAAAGATCTATTTGTTTATCGAAAAGTAAGAAAAAAACTCAAACACTTAAGTCAAACTAATCAGGTGAATCAAAAGTAATCTAAAGTCACTATTTTTCCTACTACTATCAATCTGAACAGTTATAGTGATTTGCAATAAACCAGCAAATGATTATTTGCTTCTTTTCCTGTAATTCTGGCTTTAGATTTACTGAGGAATAATTTTATTTACTATCAAATCCAAGTGGAATAACTTGTTGAAAGTGTTTTTATTATAGGGTCTGACGATTGTGAATTCGATCCAGAACAGAGTTATGAATGTACACTGTTGAGGGTCTGAAAATCAGTGCAGCTTTTCTTTATTTTAATGATTCTCTATCCGCTGTTAATTGATGTTTAAGTCAAAAAAGTTAACATTCAAGATAAATAAGGACTAGAACAGTACAAGTTAGCATAATTTAAACGTTTATTGTAAAACGTAGATAAATGATATAATATTGAATGCATTGACCAATAAATTCCTGTCTTTCTGATACAGTTGAATAAATAATTTCTCTGTACAAACACCAATGCGATAATGACGATAAAATAAGCTAAATATTTATTAGAAAATCTCAAACTAACTTGAAGATTTACAGTAGCCCATAACTTCCAGTATACGGAACGCCAATTCCCTAATTCTGTATACCACTGTCTTAACAATTCCGTCCATGAAAAGCCTGGAAATATGCTATCGCCAAGTATGGTCATTGTATTTGCAATAATATTTGGTGTTGAAATAGATCTACCAGGTAAATTTGACATGACCGAAGTTGGTGTACGCAGATATGCAGCGCAGTCACTGTCCTCCTTTTTTCGAGCTCGTACATCGGTTGGTATTGTGGATATGTTTGTGCTTAGTGTTGTGGGATAGTGTACTGGAACTATATTGCCCATTTGACTAACTATAAAACGATTTGGGAGGCATGGGACTAGAACTGATGTTTCTCTTGTCAGAACTTTGTCACATACAAGACATCTTCGTTATTTTGCCAGTAACAGGAGTCAACAGAAATGTGAAAAATTAATACAATATTTTTTTGAACTGGTTATAATTAACTAATAATGCCTATGAAATGTGTTAGCAAAGTAGTAGCTTAAGACGATATATATACATATACATATATCAACAATTTCAAAGAGTTCAATCTAAAGTGTGATAAATATGAAAAGCTAGTGTGCCTGCGAATATTGGAAGTGATGAAAATGGGATAACTTGTTGATTCACATTCTAATTTACCGTTTGGTGATACTTAATTTCCTGCTCATAATGAAGACATTAGCACAGCATAAAATTTCGTATTCACTTAGTACGCATTGAATAAATATTCATACAGTTTTCTGGTTAGGGGTTGAATTAATAAAAATTACAATTAGGAATTAGAATGCCATAATAAACAGGGGGATGGGTGAAACTAAAACAAGTAGTATAATAACTAAGAAAATTGACATTGTGCAATTGGGATTAGAAATGTAAAAAATAACAAAATATACAGGATGTTTGGATAAGAAACTAGTGTGATGAATAATTGTTTTAATAAAAATTACAATTAGGAATTAGAATGCCATAATAAACAGGGGGATGGGTAAAACTAAAACAAAGTAGCATAATAACTAAGAAAATTGACATTGTGCAATTGGGGTTAGAGATGTGGCATTCTAATTCCTAATTGTAATTTTTATTAAAACAATTATTCATCACACTAGTTTCTTATCCAAACATCCTGTATATTTTGTTATTTTTTACATTTCTAATCCCAATTGCACAATGTCAATTTTCTTAGTTATTATACTACTTGTTTTAGTTTCACCCATCCCCCTGTTTATTATGGCATTCTAATTCCTAATTGTAATTTTTATTAATTCATACAGTTTTATTGCTATAAAGTAAACGGCAATCAGTCTATCAAGCTCAGCCGACTACCTGTTTTTTCTTAATTTCATTAGTCCACTGGAAAATAACAAGACAATTCGATGTGAGTCGGTGGCACAGCGGTTAGGACGCTCGTCGACCATGCATATGGTTCGGGGTTCGATCCCCGGTCGACGCACACCTGATATCAATGGTCGGCCTGCTACATTTGGGCTACCGATATCACATGCTGAAAATTCTATACTCGTACCAAAATACCTTGTGGAATCAAGCTCTAATAAAATAAAATTTTAAGTACCTTTAGTTCATCAGATACTTCAAAGAATTTACTTAGAACTCCACTCTTCCACCTAATTCATTTTCGCTTTGTTGAGTCTAACAAGCTAATTAAATAATTCAGAGGTTTCACAAAACTGGTATGAGTGATTTCTGTTAGTTCTAATCTACATTTGGACTCATATGACAGAAAGAAGCCATTTCAATAGAATATATATATATGTGCGTCGGTGGCACAGTGGTTAGGACTCTCGCCGACCATGCACATGGTCCGGGGTTCGATCCCCTGCCAACGCACACCCTATATCTATGGTCGGCCTGCGAAATTTGGGCTACCGATATCCATGCTGAAAATTCCATACTTGTACTGAAAATACGGTGTGGCATCAAGCTGTAAATATAAAATATAAAATTAAAATGAACAACAAATATTTTACTTCCTTAAAAGGCGTCAGTCTTGAAGTTTACATATACTGTATTGGCATACTTCTAAAAGTTCTTGGTAAAAGATGAACAACTTATTAATAAAGGTGAAATAATGTCATACAAACACATTTAACAAAATAACACTAAAGTGAAATCCAAAACGTGGTTGATATTCGGAAGTAAAACCGCTTTGTTCACAGGTATATATAATTCACCAACAATTGTATCCAAGATACAGTTTGCCTAAAGTGCTTACTGTGAATGTACAATCAGTTTTATTCGGGAACATGATGCAATAACACACTAGATACAAAGTTCACTAGATTGTCTATTTCTAGTCCGAACTGATATTTGTATATATATGTATATATATATATATATATATATATATATATATATATATATATAGGGTTACTCGACTAACTTCATGAACTTGTGTGACAAATCCAACCAGAAGTATGACCCTCCATACTGAAATATAATTTCGCATAAAATAGACACCAGCCACCTATCTATATTAACAAACTTGTTTTGATAACATTCTGGCTTTACCCTTGGGATGAACACATTGGAAAAAATTAATAATTATTAGCCATAGTTTTATAAATCATGTAGTCAGCGCGATGTACAGAAGTGAGAAATTCATGTGAATTTGCAGGTAAAAGTATATCTAAACTAATTTCAATCATTTCGTACAATCAGTTCCCTTGATCAGTTTGGACAAAGAAAAGACGAACATATTTGTAGGACAAAAATGCCTTTATAAGTTCACGGCTTATATCAGCAGCTAACAACCTAAAAATGACAAGTAATTACAAACGCGAAACCGTATCATACCTTAAAATTATTTACACTCAAAGTGAGTATTAGTTAGACAAGAAATAAAAAGGCTGATAGTCTAAGTAACAGAGTTTATCCATACATAAGATAGAACATTAGACAGGAGAGAATTTGTTTTCTTTTTAAAAACTTTCAATCGGGTACAATAAAATCCGTGATGGCCATATAATTTTTTATGATCATAAAATCTTAAGCGGTATGTAAAGTCACTCACTTATACAGATATGCAGCATTATTTGGACAGTCTGATGTGTGATATGCAGGATCAAACAAGTGTTCTAGCTTCTTAATATACAATTTGCTTTAACAGAACACTTTTAATCAATTAACATTATACAAATACCTTTTCAGTTTATCCTTCTTATCCTTAATCTTGTCGAGTTGGTCTAGGTTCATTCCAGAAGCAATGCTAAAGAATGATGCAAATAATATTTCTCCAATTACCGTCCAACCAAATTGTCATTAAGACAATCCAAAGAGAAAGGGCTAGCAATAATCGTACTTGCGTGTTTACAAAAATAATCCAAGCATTCGGATATCTCAATTTTAACAAAGTATATTCACACAAATTACCAAGCATTGCATTTTCAAAAAGTTGGATGAAACTAATAGCGCAAGCACGTTAGTTGTTGACAAGGAACACTCTTGATAAGCAGTTGGTTCAATGTTTCTTCTGGCATATGATAGAAGCCATTCAAAAATGTTTAGGTCACAGTGAACAAGTATTTCAATTCCATTTATAAACTGGTCATTCTTCACCAAAAACTCTTTAAAGTATGGCATTTCAGTCACAAGAATATCCAGTTCACAGTGGAAATCACCTTCAGCTGAGTAGATGCATTCATAAAACATACATTTAGGTATTTTAGACCACTTCTTACCGCCTTTTGCTTCATCACACACTTTCACCGTCACAAATGTTGGCTGCTTTACCTTTTCATTTACTGCATATAAAGTTATCGTGGAATTAAAAAGATAACTCACCCATAATTTGTTAGATGAACCATGCAGGAAAAACCTCAGTACACAGTGTGACAGAGGACAAAGGCTACGGACAGCTGTACGCGAAAGGGGACAAAATGCCTGCCGATGACCGTTATTCCATGTGCCCGCGAGTGAGATAAACAAGTGACACATTCGCTTGTGATTGGTCAGCTTGTCACAGAGTTGCGGTGATTTCAAAACTTATTGGATAAAGGTTATCGCGGCGTATTTTCGCGCATTGTATGGGTTATCGTGTTCATGCACACAGAGGCGTTTTTTGTGAAAATGGGGTATTATTATTGTTATTGTATCCTTTAATTCCTAGAGGAACATAGGGCTTCAAATATACAGGACTTGTTGGTCTGTTACGTGATTGCTGTGAAGCCGAATAGCACGAAAGTTACAGGTAAAGCTTTTACTTATATGCTTTATCTTTCTGTTCTGTGCTTTCTATTGCCTTTTGCTGTCAGTCTATTGGACAAAATAACTCCACTTTCTCTTATTATTTATTCATCGGTATTAATTTAGGAGTAATATGACTATAGATTCTCACCCTAAGACAAGTAATGGGAGACCATACACCGTAGTCACCAGGGCTTCAGCCAAATTAGGCAAACAGGTGAAGGTGATGGAATCTCGCATACCGATCTTGAAGACTAGGGTAAATGTTCCCTGCGTGGACAGATTGCCCATGTCGCCGCAGTCCTACAGTGAAACTGTGAAAAGTCAACTAAGCGGATGTGGCTCCATCCCTGTTAACACGACTAGGTTAATAGAGCCGAGTGGTAAATCTGCACAAAGCGAGAATAGTATAACACCCATATCCACAGTAGGCCTTGAAACAAACAGGAAGGCCAATAAGAAACGTTCACGACGTCGCAAGACGACGAAAACGTTCCCCAAGAAGGCAGACGATTGCAAGGTCTGCAATTCTGTTGTCAAACAAGTAGACTCTGCTTTCGAATGCAACTTTTGCAAGCAATGGGTACATTGTAGATGTGACACCGGGGTACCGAAAGTATATTACGATTTTATGCGTAAGAACCCATGCCCATGGTTCTGGTACATATGCCCAAGTTGCCGTCCTGATGCAGCCTCGTGTAGCTCCTCGAAAACTAAAGATGGCATAGAGTTATCAGGGAAAAACGTGAAACGTTTTACTCCCACCAACTCAGAAAACAGCACAATTGCACGTAAATCGGGGATACCAAAATCCACACCGGTTATACTTGCAATCCCTGCTATAACTGCCCCACACACAGAGGTTGAAGCACCAAGGGTATCTGTCGCTGGGAAAAGACCCTTACCGTCCACCACTAAAAGTGGCCACAGCGCAGCGACACACAATAATACCCAGTTGCACCAGACGAAACAAAGCAGTCTTAAGGGGGATGACAAATGTGCGAGGACCGAACCTAAATCCACGGTTAGTAGATCAAACTACGTTATCCTCTTTAGTGTACCAGACTGTAGCAGTAGTCTGCCGGAAAACGGGGCCCTGTTTGATCAGGAACAGTGGTCCAACTTATGTAGCACACTGGGTCTGGACATCCAACCAGTAAAACTATGCAGATTGTATAGGGGCACTGCTGCTCCTCAAGGCAAACCATCCCCACTGAGGGTAACACTGGGCTCTACCGAGGATGCCGAAAATGTTTTGTTGACTCCCCAAGTCCTTTCTATAGGGAGGACCTGCAATGTACGTGTTAGACCAGACAGGCCATGGAAGGAAAGACAGATGGCGAGGGAGTCGCCAGAGCTTATTCCTTCTGCCTCCATGGTTGTTCACGGCATTCCCGAACTGGTAACTGGGAACGCTTGTGAGAAGCACTGTCACGATGTACAGCAGTGGAGATGGTTGTCATCCCAGATGGCTCTGGGAAGTTCAGGGGCTGTCTCTATTTCTAGACTGCCTCGACCCACTTACCTTATGTCAGTTTACACGCCACGTCTGTTAGCTGTTAAGTTCAGCTCACGAGACCACTTGACTACTGCTCTCCAGAGATGATACGAGACCAAGGACAAGGTCAGCAGACACATTCGCTGCTGCGAGAGCCGGCCTCGTACCCAAAGGAGAGAACGAAGCGTTGTCAAAGAAAATCCTCAACCCTTGGTCACACTACATCGGTGCAGCACGGACGATGATAGCCAGTGTCATCCAAGTGCTCCGATTGAACTAGAGGAAAAAAACGCCAACAGGCCGGTTCCCGGGGAATCGGCCAACTAGTTCGTAGGATAACTCCTCAACCGACAGCCCACATCACGTCAACCACCCCCCTCCGATACGGGGACGTGGTGAGACTGACTACCAGTTGCCTGTACAGTAATGTGAGAGGTCTAAGAGGCAAAATAGGTGAACTTAGATACCTTCAACCACAGCTGAACTCCAAAATCATAATACTGATGGAAACCTGGCCAACCCCTACGGTGGCAGACAGCAAAGTCAGTATAAATGATATGGTCCTAGTCAGGCGAGATAGGGACCTGAAAGAAGGAGGTGGAGTCGCCATATACGTCGACAAACAGCTCAGATATGTTCACGCAATGGACCCTCCCCTCATTGAGCTCCCTGACTCCATATGGTGCCATTTCACCGTTGGGTACTGTAAGTATCTAGTGGGCAGCATTTATAGATCAACTTCATGTGGAGTAGACCACAACCAGGTACTGCTAAATACAATTTCAGCGACACAAGACATGGGTTATGATCAAATTGTCATAGCTGGAGACTTCAATGCCCCATCTCTTAACTTGATGACGGGATATGCCCATGATAGATTTGATCGAAATCTGCTGCATACCATCAGGGAAGCCGGATTCACTGAAAATGTCAGAATGGATACTAGATGGGGCCCAGACGGGAAGTCTTCTAGGCTGGATTATGTGCTCACTAGTGACCAGCTACTAGTAGAAAACGTTCAGATCACGACTCCCATAGGTAGTAGTGACCACGCGGTCATAACATTCGACATAGTCCTCCGCGAGCGCTTACAGTGGGACAATACACAGCCCTATCTGTGTTATAACAAAGCCAATTACACCGAAATACGAAGACTTTTGTCTGAAGCAAATTGGCCAAAAAATTGGACAGAGCTTACAGTAGAAGAACACTGGGGAGTGGTAAAGGAGATCATTCACCAGACGGTCTCAGACACTGTTCTTTAGTCACACCAAAAGCTAGAAAGCAACGTTCATTGCTAAAAATGGGGACACAACGCCTTCTACAGGCGAAGCGAAAAGCCTGGTTTGCGTGGCGAGTATCGAAGAGTCAACCCGAACATGAAGTGTACTTCGAACTCAGGAATCGATGTAACATACGAGTCCGGAGTGATAGAAGGACATTTCAGGGAAACCTCGCCAATAAGCTTCTCGTGAACCCCAAAAGCCTATACAGGTTTATGTCTGAAAGAAAACCGACCAACCAGGGAGCTTGCAATCTAGTGGGTTCTGATGGGAAATCTCTTACTAGTCTTGAAATGGTAGAGACATTCAGTCTAGCCTTTCACAGGCAACTGAACAGTAACGAGGATTTTACCCCCACAAAACATCAAGATTACAATGCAAGACCAACGTGCGAAAACCTGCTGGGTACATTTCAAATTACCCCGGCTATGGTACTCGTAAAATTGGGAAAGTTGGCTTCGGGAAAGTCTGCAGGTTGCGATGCCATAAGACCATCCGTCCTGAAGCAGTGTTCAGAAAGTCTCTGCCAACCCCTAAGTGATCTGTTTCAACACTCCTTTGATGTAGGGAAACTTCCGTGTGAATGGAAACGAGCCATCCTATCCCCCATCTTCAAGGGTGGTGACCGGCAGAATGCGCTACTCCCAGTGATATCGAAGATATTGGAAAGTCTCATTGATGACCACATGAGAAAATACTTCGACGGGACTAACCTACTCCATGAAGCACAGCACGGTTTCAGGAGGGGAAGATCCTGTGTGACGAATCTTCTACTAGCTTGGAACGATTGGACACTATCCTGGGATGTAAAGGTACCAGTCCATGTGATCTTTCTCGACTTTGCGAAAGCATTCGACACAGTTCACCATGGTCTGCTCCTTCACAAAACAAGCAAAGCGGGTGTTTCTGGAGCGCTTCTCGCACGGCTGAAAGATTACTTAGGCGAGAGAGAATTCTGCACCAAAGTCACCCGCATCCGATCATCCTGGCACACCTCGGCATCAGGGGTTCCTCAGGACTCTACCTTAGGGCCGTTGATGTTTTTGATTTTTATCAACGACCTGCCCTGTCAACTGAACTGCTCTGCGCTTCTTTACGCTGACGACGTAAAGATTTGGAGAGCAATAAACTCATCGGAAGACTCAGACAGATTGCAGGCTCACCTGCAAACTCTGGGAGACTGGGCTCTGGCTAACGGAATCCCTTTCAACCTAAAGAAGTGCAAAGTAGTGCAACTTCATTCCGGCAGGTCACAGAGTGTAAATAACACCCTTGGTGGCCAGAACTTGAGTTGTGTGCCATCAGAACGCGATCTAGGCCTTATTTTAACAGAAAAGCTAGGCACCAGTGTAAATTACACGAGGGACGTCGCCAAAGCTTACGCCACTTTACACTTTATGCATAGGCAGCTGGGAGCTCTTACTCCTGAACAATTCCTAACGTTGTATACGACATACGTGAGGCCACTCCTTGAGGATGTGCATAATATCATTGCTCCTCCGCTACTCAAAAGGGATGCTAACATGCTAGAAAGTGTCCAGAGACGAGCGACAAAATGGGTGATCGGCCTCCGCAACAAATCATATGAGGAAAGACTGAAGAAATTAAGTCTTTTCACGCTTAGTTACCGTAGTCACAGGGGAGACTTCATCACCGTCTATAAGATCTTAAATGACCAGGCCCACCCTGATAAAAGCATCCTGCCATCAAGTGATTATAGGCTTCCACGAGTTAACCCGCTAACGATACCACACCAGAGACCAAAGACTCGAGTGCGTTCACATTTCTTCTCGCTTCGAGTTTGCCGTCTCTGGAACGCTTTACCGGCGGCCGTAACTACAGCTCCATCTGTGGAAACTTTTAAGCGGAAGCTGGACAATCATGCGGAAATGCATGGTTTGTGTCTCAATGGCTTATCCTCTTAAAATTTGAAACCACACTGTCAATGGATAAGCATACAAGCTAAATCCCCACGACCCGTTCTGTCTTCTCTCGCTGTACCGACTACTCTATCTTTTCTTTCGTCACCTTTATTATTTGACTTATCTCAACCTATATTATCTACACTACAACCTATTATTATTA